CTCTCTTCAGTCGTACACTCTTGGCAGAGTGGTCGTGGTTTTCACAATGACGGTGGATCGTCGGTGAGGCTCTCCTTCGCGATTGAGGTCCTCGCAATATGTCTCCATCTACTTCTGTTCGCCGCCGAGCGAGAGCACTCCACAATAGATTTCTGTGTGGCCGTTTTGATGAGGTCAGTCCATCGCGTTGGCGATCTACCCCGAGAACGTTTGCCTTGTACCGCTCCTTGGACAATTAAACGTTCCATACAATCTTCATTCCGGATGATATGGCCGAAGTATTTGAGAATTCGTATACGAACAGTTGACGACAATCTCTCTCTGATTTTCAGTTCGTTCAGAATGGAAACGTTAGTTCGAAAGGCAGTCCAAGGTATTTGCAGCGGTCGTCGCCAGCACCACATCTCTAGAGCATCAATTTTTCGGCGTTCTTGTTGCCTGATCGTCCAAGTTTCTGCACTATACAGAAAAATTGGAAAAACCAAACTCCTCATTATATGCATTTTGGTGTTCTTTGTAATATTGCGGTTCTTCCAGATTTTATGCAGTTTACTCATAGCTGTTTTTGTGATAGCACATCTCCTTTTTATTTCGTCCTCGCATCCTCCAGTATTTGTGATCGTGGAACCAAGGTATACGTAACTCGTAACAACTTCACAGTTGCCGATTGTCATTATATTTGGTTTATTGTGTTCAGCTCTGTCCACGATCATCATTTTGGTTTTGGTTCTATTAATTTCGAGTCCGAAGGAGAGGCTTACAGTCTCCAAGCGCCTTAAAAGCAACTCCATGTCTTTCTCAGATTGCGCAAGAAGAGTAGTATCATCAGCGTATCTCAAGTTACACACCCGTCGACCTCCAACCGAGACGCCTTCATTCCACCCGTCCAACACCAGTCTCATAATACATTCTGTATATGCGTTGAACAATAGCGGCGAAAGAATGCAACCTTGTCGAACACCCGCCATGGTTTTAAAATTTTCGGAATCAACACCATCCAATCGAACATTCGCAGTTCCGTCGACATATAGTTGACGTATCAGACGAATCAAGTGCGGAGGAGTACCCATTGTTCTAAGTACTTCCCATAGTTTGTGCCAATTTACAGTGTCAAAGGCCTTTCGTAAGCTAAGTACTCACTGGTGATTGAATCTTAATATTAAATTTAATTGAAATGTTAATTGGATTCATTTAATTGTGACCATTTTGTATTACTGTGCTACACGCATAAAGAGAAAAATTGTCACTTATTTTATGCATTTTATTTTTATTTTTTGTATATTTAATTATTTTATTTTCTTTATTCTTTATTGTACACAAAAAAATACAAACACATAATATATATTAAATAAAGATGTACAACAGGCGAGCTTAACTCTGTAAGAGTTCTCTTCCAGCAAACCCTGAGTGGAAAGGAGCATTAATTACCAACGAGCAGTGTGCGTACAATAATAGGAGGAAACAGTATAGATGTTTCTATTAAGAAATAATAAATATGTTGATATGTATTCTTTTATCTTTTTTTCACTGTGCATCTATATCTGTTGTTTTTTTATGTGCTGTAAGTAATGTAAATAAATTATCTGTCTATCTATTTATTTATTTAAATAACTTATACCTCAATGAAAATACGATATAAATGGCAGCGAAAGTAGCATTCTCTACCTCTGGGAATGAACTAACCAACCAACAGTGAGTCACGAATGTGGTATATCATGGTTAGCATAGGTAAAGAAAATAACAGTTAATAGTGTATTTATATTATTAGGTTAATATATCTACCTATACACAATAAATAATAATATACATGAATTACATAAAATAAAAATTAATGAAAAAATTTTTTTATAATGAAGTCAATCCAGTTATTCGTACATTGCAATATAATGAGTTCAAGGTCAATAGTAATATTTTACAAGCAATTCGCAAATGGACCTTAGCATTTCTATTATCATAAATATTACCATAAAGTTCAAAGAAATGATATTTTAACATTTTTAATAATTTTAAACGCTACGTATAATGTAATGTTAACATGAAGTTTGTGTTTCGTTCGACCTCGTAATATCGGAACACATTTCACGATAGACTCTCTGATTTTTTTTTATACAACTTAGAATGGCAAATAAGCTGACGGCCTACCTGATGGAAAGTGGTAACCGTCGCCTATAGACATGAGCAGTACCATGGACATAACAGAGTATACCATTTGACTTATAATACCCCCCAAGCGTTGCCATTCCTGAGGACTCAGGTGTTATTCCTCTGTAATACCTAGTAAATTCACGCCATATCCCACCCTTCAAACCGAAACACAGCCATGCAAACACAACTGCTTCACGGTTGAAACACGAATGGGATCTGTAGAATCCAAGGTCTGTATGTATGTGTACTGTATAGTGGTTAATATTTTAAACAAATATTTATTCTGTTCGTGCGATTAATGTATGAGAGTGTTACCTCCGCACTTGGAGGAGTTTGATATTTATCTTTGTAAGTTCTGACTTAATTAATCTATATGTATTAAAACTTTTAAGATTTTAAAAGTACCAATCTATAACCATTTTTATCCTATAATTTTATAAATAGCGTTTCCATTAATTTGTGAGGTGAGCATGGACTTTTTTTCACGCACTATTTCAATTTCAGAGGTTAGTTGATTTGTTTTTTTTTTAATGTCGCTACGATGTGTAGTCACACGCATGATAGCGTAGCCTTGCTTGTACCTATATATATATTCTACCTATATATATATACATTCCTTCTGATTGACGGCAAAATCAAAGTATCAAAGATTATTAATATATCCGTACTTTTTTATCCAGAATATTTGATGACAGCAAACTTTCGTTTTTTGTACTGCTTATTTTTTTTTACAACACAGGGGGCAAACGAGCATGCGGCTTACCTGATGGTAAGTGACCCATAATCACCCACAACATCAGACCCTCGCAGGTGTGATGCCGGCCTTTAAAAAAGGAAAATGCTCTTTTCTTGAAGGTTATGTTGTCGTATCGGTTCGGAAGTACTGCTGCTGGAAGTTGATTCCAAAGAGTGGTTTTGCGTGAAAGAAGTGCTTTGAAAAACACATGGTGGAATATATACCACTATGGTGGTGGTTATAGTTACAAACGAACGTGGTTTCCTTTCTCAATATGAAATATTGGTGTCAGACAATATAAAAATTGTGTTGAATTATTTTGCTAACCGATTTAAAAAAGAGGTTATCAATCTTGGTTTGTATTTTTTTATTTTTTGTTACGCCATAACTCTGTCAATTGTCAATCGATTTGGAAAATTCATTTACACAATATAACAAAGTATAGAGCCGATTTTCCGTGTAATAAATTATTTTATACAACTTAGAATGGCAAACAAGCTGACGGCTTATCTGATGGAAAGTGGTAATCGTCACTTTTAAACATAAATATAAAAAGTACCATGGATATAAGAAAGTAGATATACCGTAATACACTTCATTAATTATAATATTTATACACATGAAAAAAAAATCAAATAAATAAATTGTAAACCATTATATTTAGTATCCCAATAGCGAAGTGTAATTCGCTTACAATATTTAGGGAAACGGTTTAAAAAAGCTCTACCAAAAAAAGATACACTTCATGTGTTGTCATTCTTGAAGACTAAGGTGTTATGGGCATAACACCTGTACCTTGTAACCAAACCGAAACACAGCCATACAAACATAACCTTTATACTATAGAAATATGAATGGGACAGCGGTACCCAAGCAGGTGACTTTTGTAGTCTACCTCTGTTAAATAAACGATTATTTTTAATGTAAATCGTGTTTGCAGAGTTAAATGGCAAATACCACACAGCCTTAATTTTATTTATTACTGGCTACTTAAAATGGTTGATAAATAATGTTTTTTTACCAAATTATCACTGACAGTTATCAGCGAGCTGTCGGGTCTGCTAATTGAATTTAATGATAAATATAGGAGAATATACATATATGTGTTTTATTTATTTTTGTTTCTTTTTTTTTGTATCAATACTGTACGTAGTATATAATCTGTGATATTATACTACCTACTTATTATTTATTATTCAATTAAATATTGTATTGATTGTAGATAGACAGGTGCTCTATATTCAAAAAGTTTATTCCAATTTTAAATTTATTAATTGAACTATTGTCAAATATTTCAAACAATTTCCATGTATATGAGAATAAATATTATTGTTTCTGTATTATCGTCCTTTGGACTGTATATTGAATAATTTTGCAAATTCACAATGCATGCATATTCGAGTTCAAACGGGGTACTAAGGTAATGCGTCCGAATAGCTACAACACTCCGATAATGCATTGTCCAGTTAAACGAACACCCCCGAAAATACAGCATGCGAAAAAAGCCATCCTCGCCACCTCCCGCTAGCATTAATGTCCTCCCCACCGCGCACTAAGCTTCTTTTTTTAATACATAACTTTTTTTCAAGATGCATTTTTACATGTTTCGGCCTAAAACTTTACACACCCAGCAGCAAGAGCCGAGAAAAATGGTAACGCCTATCGAGGATCGGATTTCTCTGTCTCGCGTGATGGAAACGCACGCCGGACGATAGTGGCGCGAGCGAAACGGACCTATTCGCGGCCACTGCTACGTCTTAAACCAAGATTAAGGCTGTATTCCGCTTTACCGTATGCTCATTCTTCAATCGGACCGATTAAACATCAAAGACTTATATCAACATCTGATTAGAGTTATAATTTTATACGATGGATAAGTAAAAACAATAGGATTAATAAACGTAAAACTTGTAATGCCTGAAATAAGGCGAACGCTATACGTCTCACTCTAGCGTCCAGTACGAAGGCATTCGCGCCACGACAATTGAGTTGAGTTGAATTGAATTGAGTCGGTTAAACCGTAAAAATGGTACGGGCGGGAATACCCGCGTAAGAGAGAGACAAACGAAAGGCGTGTTGGTCGAGACCGCTGCCTTCTTCTCCTCGACTTTGTCGAGGCGCGAGTAGTGAACGTCAGCGTACTGACGTGATCGGCCGTATTCGTGTTTGCCCGCGCTCCGTTTGACAGCTGCAGAAAAAAAAACATTTCGCGCGTCTTCTATCAAGTCACCGAATTGAAAGTTTCGAGTGCGTTCGTAATTTGAACTTAAGTATTGGTGTTTGAACTATTTGTTTTAAAAGAAAAGGAGTTTATATTTGCAGTGTAATAATTCTATTGGCTCGTACTAGCCATTGAGACGTTATAAAGTGATGAATCAGCGAGCGCCGGCTAATTAACAACGTCATTGCTACGAAAACAAATCTAACGTGCAATTGCTATTTGCCTTTAGAGATATTGTAAGTTGCATGTTTTAACATATTTTTACTGAAATAAACTTTTTTATCATTACTTTATACTTCTCAGTCATTTTCTATTTTTTAGCCAGTTCTTAGTAATTACATAAAAGTATATTTGGAGCGAATAGTAAAAAAAAAAGAAAATGTATAAACAGCTTTTTAGTTGCATGTCTAGATTTTACCTTGCACTTAAAATACAATGTCAAGTAGAATAGAAAAACTTTTTTTAAATTATATTTTATTTATGTTTAGTTTAATATGTAGTTAAAATGATATTTATAAAGTACTTATTTTTTATAAATAGATACAAAAGGAAGTTTATGAAAGAATCTTTATGGCAAGTAAATAATAGCTTAATAACAGTTTTACTCATTACCAACATGTGCTTTCATAGCTTTACATTTTAATAATGGAAAATTCTGAATAACCGTTGAAATGGCATATTGTATTTTTGATGTGTCAAACAGGAAAAGTAGTCGCGGGGCGGGGCGACTGAGTCAACAAACAGCTGATTGGTTCAGAAACGTGTTGCATTTTTCTGTAGGTATTTTTTTTTTAATTGAGGACGAATTTTTTTTTCGCTGTTAATTATATTTTTTCGAATGAAAATAGCGAAATCGTATAGTTTGCACGGATTGATTATAGAATATTTTTTAGTATAATTTTTATTTCTTTTTTTACTATAGGTATAGGTAATAGTAGACATAGATAGAATTTATACATATCTGTCACGCCAGTCTCCCATTGGGGTAGACAGAAATAATTTAATTTACTTACCAAATAAAACTGTAAATATGTTAAATGAGTTATTATTTCATGAGAATTAGTCCTATTTTATTTTACATAAAATATTTCTTAAAAAAAAAGGAAAAAATAAAATAAAAATATATGAGTGGTGGGGAGTATACATTGGTAAAAATTATGTTATTTATAGAATATTACCAAATTAAAACTTAATTCTTAATCTTAAGGTTGATAATTTAAAAAAATTCTATTTCTGGTACGTATATAATTACAATCCATTTAGGGTATTGTTTAAATCTTAAATTTCATTTATATCCAAATTTTGATACTGGTAATGATTGCAATACGTAAATATATTGCTGAATTAGACCTTAAATTAATGTCTTAAGGCTAATGATTTAAACAGTGTCAATATTTGATACATCTACATGTAATATTGGCAAAACCAAAATTTTGATGTTTGACAGTATTGCGATTCTTATGAAACGTTACTAAAATAAACCTTAAAACAATACAGATAAAGGTGACAATTCAAACACCGAATAGAATCTAATTCTGCTATATATATTAAGATTTGTGTAATGTCTGACATCTTTATTCATAAAACATATTTTAGCTATTGAATTGCTTTGTCACTTTCTTTCAAATTGGAAAAATTGTACCATAAAAAAAGAGAAAAAAATCCATAGCTAAAACGTGTGACCTTTGACGTTTTTTTTATGAATAATAACATAAAAATGCAAACCTAACACCACAAGGTCCATTATCATTATCATTAGATTACATACAAATTGTAATCCTTGTCTAGACCAGAAATTTGCCATTGCCAATAGCCACTGGTCTTTCAACTACGTAAATAAGTATAGTCTATTTCATTAGAAATTAATAAGAATGTAAATAAACAAATTACTTATTCGAACATCAGACAGTCTGCTGACGTTCAATATTGGTGGAAATAAAAATAGATTAATTAATTGAACGATTCGATTTGTCAATAATTTTATTTAAAGACTATATCTATGACAATTTCAACTTAATCTGGTTACCTTAAGTTATATTATATATATATATATATATATATATATATATATATATATATATATATATATATATATATATATATATATATATATATATATATATATATATATACATTATTACTAAGTTTTCCTTAGAGACTACAAAAAGGTTTAAAAATATATTAAGGTTTCTTCAGAGTCGGAAACGCGCACGTGACATCCCTAGTGTTGCAGGCGTCCATAGGTTATAGTAACTGTTTACCATCAGACGGACTATATGCTTGCTTACTACCTTCCTGGGTATAAAAAAATTTACTATCAGAAAATCTAACTTTATATTCTAAAATTTGATGAAATAATAGTCAAAGTGATCTATTAATTACATGCAATCTGAAAGAGATGTCAAGAGTTTCTGATACCAGCATGCATGCATGAAATACGCTATAGAAGCTGATGAAGTAATAGCATGTATTTAAAGGTAGATATTTAGCATTTGGTTCTTTCTGTTTACACCACAAAGGTTATGCTTGAGGATATATAATTATGGTATTTGATACTGAATAAATATCATCATAAAATATTATCTTTCCATTTTTTTTTTGTTCAGTCAATCAATTCTAATTTTGGCCGTGTGGTCCCGGCATACAATAGGCCACCCCTTTCTTTCACGTGAATGACGTAAGAGGCGACTAAGGGAGGGCGAGGGATGGGCAGCAACATGCCTTCTGAAACATCTCTAAAGCCTAACTGCGGTTGCCAATTTGCCTGCCAAGAGTGGCAACTACTGGAAAATTCCCCCAAGGAGGAGGGGACAATTAAAGGCTGATATGATGATGATGATGAAAAATATATTTAATACTTTCATCCAATTAATATAATAATTCTTTTACTTACCATCAGTGAGCCTCGTGCTCATTTGACCCCTGTGTTATAAAAAGAAAAAAAAAACACAGAGAATATTGACAGCAAGATCTATAGACTAAATATTTAATCCGTAACCAATTATCATATAATGGTTGTGTCGAGTCGATTCATGAATATCGATCTACGGAATAGATCTCGATAAATTTATACAAAAATTGCAAAAAAACATTAATCTTGGCCTACTGGATCCCTGAAAGTTGTTCCGCATGCCATTAGGCGAGACTCGTGGGTTAATAATTTTGTGATGTTCTCTCGCCCCTTCATGGGGGAGATTTAAATTTTAACATTTTATTTGACATTTTTGAATTGCTACTGGCTCTGCCACATTTAATTTATTTTAATTTTTTCTAAAATTTATAGAACCAATGTAAATTTTAAGAATTTTTTAAAATGAAAATATTCATTTAATCGAATCTCACAAAAGGGTTCTTAAAAAATATTAATTCTAGATCTATAGAATTTTATTTTATTTTATTTATATATAATAAAATAAAAAACTAATCTAACTAGCATTCGGACTCGAGTTCGCATGGGTAATTAATAGTATTTATAGAAATAATATATAGCCTATGTTACTCGCTAATACTGTAGCTTTCTATATGTGACAGAATCTTTAAAAATTGTTCGAGTACTTTTTGAGTTTTTCCATTACAAATAAACATAATTTTTTTCCTTTTTCTTATAGTATAGACAAATAACAAGTTTATTTTAAATAACAATAAACATTTTGGTATATTATTTGTTATATATGATGATCATTACATAAAATTTAATCAAATTACTTACAGACTGTATATTAAGAATTGATTTGTTTTTAATTCAATCAATTATATTTAATTGTTTCATGTTATGTATTTCATGTAAATACCCGTTTCAGTTAATTAATGATATAATGAATAATTATTTCCAAGATACAAAATATAATAATATGAGTAGATTGATATGTGGTTTAAAAGTTAATATTTTCAGTATTTTTCATACATAATTAGAGGCATCTACAGTTATCATAATTTACCATTAATATTTTTTCCGATCAAATATCAATTTAAACTAATGATTTTAATTAATTATCTATTTTTATTAACATATAAAGTTTCAAATAGTACCTACTTATATAAAATAAGATGCCAGTATTGTTTTATATAAGATATATTAGATAGATACTTATGTTGATTTCTTAATACATAAATAAGAAAACTATATTATTGATAACTTTATTATTGATATTTTATCATTTAATTAAAATTAATACACGCAAAAAATGTAGAAAATAATATATAAATAATTCAAAAAGCTTTTTCGTTGTCACTATTTGTTTATTTTATGCACTGTTACTTCGATAGAAAATAAACAAAATTGTTAACTAAATATACACCGTATAAAAAGATACTCAATTTACATTTTTTATAAACAACATTTGAACAGTAACACATCACTTTTTTATGGAGCGCTTCGTTGTGTTGCCCTTAAAGTTTGTCCGCTACTTCAACAAATATACAGTGACCCCAGAAGTCGGAAATCTCACTCACGCAGACATCGCATGAGTGAGATAGCTTTAATTAAATGGAACTAATTGTAAGAGGCGAATAGAAAGGGTGAATACAAGAATGATGTAACTTTCAAAGATTTCGTGAATAATGAATGTAAACGATTTTTTATTAACACTTTTTAAATTGTTTCATTACGGGTAAATTGTATTTATGTTCTTGTTATATCTTAAACATGTACACGCCAAATTGCTTAAAGGAAATTAGGGGCTAATCTTTTAAATTAAAACATATATACGTGGTTAAAAAGTGCAAATAACGATAGATATACTTTATGATACATTATTAGTAACATTAGTAGTAATCATCTAGATGATTCCCACATAATGGATATTTGATGCAGTCATCATGTTAGTGAATATCGAAATGGTGACCGAAACTCAGACAAGAGCTTTCCCTATTACAATAAAGTTGAAAATATCCGTAAATAAAATAAAAATCCAGTGTGGTAAAGAATCAAGCTACCTGAACTACTTCTACGCTGGGAACACACGGCCAACTCGACATGAACTCGCTTATAATTAATAGTGTATTTTTACAAAGAAGAATTTGTACAGTGTATAAGTACTACGTAAATAAAGCCGTAGGGCATACACTAGTAACTTTATAAACCTATAAAATGTTAGTTTGTTGACTACAAAGTTACAAATGTAAATGTGTGTTTATTTGCACAACACAATGTCACATTTAGACTCTGAACTACTGAATCTATTTTGATGAATTTTTCACAACTTTAAAGGAAATTAAATTAAACGCTAGTATGCAT